AGCTTTCATAGATAACAAGTGACAGTCCTGACCTTCCCTGGACTAAACAGCAAGGCAGAAGATGCCATGTGAGCCGTGGGTGCTGGGAACCTCATGCTACCCCTATTTTCATTTAAAAGATATCGAAACTAACCATTACTGGTGATTATGTCCCTGTAAGAAGTTGTATTAATGAGTAAAGAATGAAATTGTAGCCAGCCAAAGTGTGGTCCAGGTGTCACTGGGGGCAGGGTTAAGAAACTTATTTTTTCTTGGAATTAGCTTTCAGGTTCATATAACTGAGATCGTGTAGACCTTTCTATTAGCTTTAATTTTAATTTTAATTAATTAATTAATTAATTTTGGTCAGGATGATTTATTGTTGTGCATGATTAAGGACATTAAGGAGGGAACAGCACAGTGGGAGCCCTCACCAGTGCCGGGCTTGCCACTTTAGCTTTAATTTTTAAATTAGCTCAGTTTTAAAGCAAAATGTTTCAGTGTTAAGGAAAAGCAGGGATTCCAGGGATTACAATGTTTTCATGTTTAGGGGATGATGATTTTGTAAATTTTGGAAATAATTTATCTTCATGATTTTTAAAAAATATTTCTAGTAGAAGTCATTAATTAGTTCCCTGTTGACCACTGGCATACTAATATTCAGTAAAATATGTATTTTTAGTGTATACAAGAACAAGACATTGGAAAGCCTTCAAATTTATGGTTTTGTTTTTTGTTTTTTTATACCCATCTTACTGAAATACTTACTTTTCTACCCAGCATGTTTTGGAGATTTACTCTTATCTCTTCTTTCATTTGGGTTCTTGTGTGTCCATGCCCTTATATGCACAAAAACATTTACTGTACTGTAGTTTCAGTGGGGGCTTAGGAAGGAGTGAAAATAAAGACGTGTAATCTGTAATTTTTACACTGACCTCCCACTTGCCTGTGAACTTAAGGTGTTATTTTCCCATATGATTTTTATATCTTATTTATAAGTTCTTTTCTACCTTAAGGTTAGAACATACTCATCTATATTTTCTTCCGTTACACACACACACATACACACATACACACACATTTTTTTGCTATACAGAGGCTTGAACTCAGGGCTTTGTAGTTGTGAAACAGGTGCTTGAGCCATAACTCCAGCCCTTTTTGCTCTGATTATTTTAGAGATAGGGTCTTGTTTATTTTTGCTCAGATTGGCCTGGACAGTCATCCTCCTATTTTAAACTTCCCACTGCCACTGGGATGACAGGCATATGCCACCATGCCAGCCTTTTTTTTCCATTGAAATGGGGGTCTCACAAACTTTTTTTCCCCATGGCTGGCCTGGAACCATGATTCTCCCAAGTAGCTGGCATTACACACATGAGCCACTGGTGCCAGACTTCTTTTACATATATTTTAAACATTGGGTCTTTAATATACCTCATATGATGAAGGAATTTAAAAGCTATGATAAAGTCAAGATGGAGATATTAAGCCAGACATGGTGTAGAGGCCTATAATTTCAGCAGTTGGGAGGCTGAGGCAGGAAGATTGGGAATTCGAGGCAAGACTAGGCTATATAATGAGGCTTGTCTCAAAAAACAAAAATGGAAATAATTTTGTAAAAGGGAAGAGCCTTTCAAATCTTTAAGAAAAACAGAAAGTAAGCATACTACACTAATTTGTTCTGTAGTGAACCATATTTACATAGCTATAATAATGTAAACTGATCATGATCTAAATGTTGTGGTCATGGTATTTGCATTTAGAGGATGGAGTAATAGAAGACGAGGGTCGATAAGAGAGCTAAATCTTCACTTTTTATAATAGGAAGGCAATTGCTAACACTTGACTTATCTAAATAAGTCAAGAAATAGGTAGAAGTAAGATAAGTGTTGTGTCTATAATCCCAGCACTCAGGGAGACTGAGGTTGAAGGACTGCAAATTCAAGGCTAGCCTGGGTTACATAGTGAAATCCTGTCTCAAAACAATAAGCAACAACAAAAAAGAAAAAAAGAAAAAAGAAATAGGTATAAGCAGATTTTTTGGACATATGGTACTATGTCCTAGAAGAGATAGCTTAAGAGTGAAAAGTTGTAGAGATTGGTGGTGTTCAGAAGATTTTGGTACTTTTGGATATTTTTAAAAAAGTATTTGTTACGTGATATCTTAAAATTATGTGTTTTATGGGAAGAAGATAAAGCAGAATAACATTGTTAAAGATGAAGACAGACAAGGAGAGTGGCCATTCATCTGATGACATAAATAATAGTTGGCATGCCTACTCAAAACAGGGCTGGAGGCAAATACCCAGGCATGCAAATGTGGCAGAATAATTTGGTGAGCTATGAAGTTTTGTTTGTTTTGCCTGTTTTTCCTCTCACTTTAGAGCAGGCAAGAGTTTTGGCAGAGCAGAGAGTAGAGGCATCCTGATGTCAAGGGCCTTTCTGCCTTTTGTGAAAGTCTAAAGTAAACCTGGGAAGAGGTTAGACCCCACAGGGGCTGTGGAGGGGATTGGTGTGAGGCCTGGCCAGCATGGACACTGGGCTGTAATCCCTGGCTGTGATGGAACAAGTGACAGGACTCTGAGTATATGGCTTTGAGGGTGTGGCAGGGAGGCAAGGTCTGAGCCTAGAGACTCTCATATCTGAATTTCCATATTTCAAATTTGGCAAGATCTGAAGACACATTACCTGCTGGGACTACAGGGATCACAATATCCATTGGTGGTGTCCAATGATAGGATGGTGTTGTGGAGGAGGGTAGGTAGGAGGCCTTCCTTGGGTATTGGTGTCTCTATGACCTTAGGTAGCCTTTGGCAGACAGGATTCCATAAGAGCACCTGATGTTGAAGTTTTCACCAGCATTCTAGTGCAGGAGCTTGGAGTAGGAATTAGTTTCATCTAAAGGACCTTTTAAAATGCAGTATTTCTTGTCTCTCCAAGTTTGCATGCTAAGATCACACCTGATACAGGGGTCAGTAGGGAGAGGCCCTGTCTTCACCCACCCTAAGAGGCGTGAGGCGTGGATACTGTAATGATTTTTTGGTAAGAGGTAAATGCCATGGCATACTCAGGTTCTGTGGAAAGATAAGGTGGGGGCATGGCAACTTATTTCCTAGGTCCCTGCCTTCCTTATCCTTCTTCCTGGATCTGTCCCCTCTCTTTCCCACATCACCTCATCTAGTCAATGGTCTTTCTCCCTGCCTGGGGAATAGGAGGTCTATGAGAAGGTAGAGATAGAGGAGAACCAGCTAGAATCTTCTTGAATTGGAGAATAATTTGTCTGAATCTTGGGCTTCTAAAACCTGCCCCGGAGATTTGCTCCTTGGCTTCAAGAGTTTAAACGAGCTTGAGTAAACTGGGTCCAAGCCTCCAAGCCTGGAAAGAAAGGAAAGGGCTCCAAGAGGTAAGGAAGCTGAAGGGATAGAGGAGGGAGATGATGGGAGCCTCGATCAGCACCTCACATGCCTCTCCAAAGGGAGAAAGGAGGAAAAAAAGGAAAGGGGAGGAGGCTTTCCTAACTGGAAGGAAGCTGAGGTCATTGAGGAGCCCAGACAGGAATAGGAAGAGATCCCAACAGCCTCGTTAAACAAAGGGAAAGGCTAGGGCACCAAGCTTTATTGAAAAGGGCAGAAGGGGATTCGCTTGTATCTTTGAGAGAGGATGAGGGCTCTGAGAGAGTTCTGGGATTGGGAATGTGCCTAGGGTAAGTTCTGGTAGTGAGGTAGAATAGATCAGAGAAATTGAGGCATGGGAAACAGCAGCCAGAAATAGCTCTATTAAAAACATAGATATTGCTTTCTTTGATTTAAGCCTTATATTCCTCAACAAGCTGCAACATTTAGGAAAAAAAAAAAAGGGACACACAGTATCTTTCTCCCTCTGACCTTGTCCACTTGCCCAAAAATAACTAGTATGCTGTGAGAACTGACAAGGTTATCTTAAAGAAAGACATTTATCCTGGGAAAAACACCCGAAAAAATGACTCCTCTTGGCACAAAAAGTGGCTACAAAGTAAAATACTTATTGCAAGGATGGACAGCTGTCTTGAAGGCAGCATCTGACAGGACCCAGCCTTTGTTTAAGGGATTTTCAAACATCTATGTCATCATGACCCAAATGTAATGAGTGGGCTAACCTTTGCAACTTTGGGCCCAATTGATAAGACAGTGAAACAGCAAAAGCAACTAATTGCACCAGGTGTCAGAACAAAGGGAAGCACTTTTCTTAAGGTAAATTCAAGCCAACCCCTGACCCACTTTTTCACCATAAATACCTTGGTGTTAAAAAACATTAATTGCACTTGTTATAAGATGTGCCCGCCCCCATATCTGGGCTGTGATTATTTTTCCACCTTTCTTTTGCTTTGATTTACTAATAAACTTTCTTGGTCTCTACCTTGATGTGTCCTTAAATTCTTTTCTGTGACATCACAAACGTGGTACCCAAGGGCCAGGTGGAGGCCTCCTCCCTTTTGGAGACCTCCTCCCAGGAGCACTGCTAGTTCTAATAACAGTAGAACTTGGGTTTTCCTGCACTACTAGGGTCCCAGGCTACAGTATCACTCTTGGGGACCTTTATACTTAGAGGTCCCAAGGAAAGGGGGGCGGTCCCTGGTAGATCTCGGGGAAAGATCTCAGGACACTTCTGGAGTAAGAGAGTGCTGAATAGAATTAGGGAAGGAATCTCTTAAGGGTTCCAGAGACCTGCAGAGCCATGGTGTGTGTGTGTGTGTGTGTGTGTGTGTGTGTGTGTGTGTGTGTGTGTGTGTGTGTATAAGCACTGGTGCTCTGGTGGCAGAGATTCCTCAGAGACCAGGTACCACCCTGCCTATCAGCCTCTCTGCAACTGCCCAGGGGTTGAGCACCTGGCAAACAGTGAAACTGTTGGGAAAGGTAGGAACATAGAATTCACGGTCCTGGGTTCTTACCCGGGACCCCGGAGTATGTGACCCCACCCAGTAGTGACATTGACTTCTCTGTGAATACCAACACACAAGAACAGGTATTTGAATAGAGGCTGGAATAACTTTTTATTCACTTAGGTATAAATCACATTTACAAGGGAAAGGTAGAGTGCAATGGGGAGCAGGGACAGGTCTTGGATCCTGGGTGACCTCCCAAAGGGGACAGTCCTGCTGTCTCCTCCCTCACTCCCTGGGAGACTTTCTTTCTTCTGCCTCTCTGGACCTGGTCCAGCATGGGCAACTCAGCCATACAAGGTCAAGATGGAAATGCAGATAGAATGGTTGAAGCAGGAAATGGGGTGTAATGAGGCCAGCAGGGGGCTGTGTGTGACTGCTCTGGGGCTCCTGAGTCCTTCCTCTCTTCTAGCCCCCTTCTTGCCCCTTGCATTGGGGCTCCAAGTCCTGGTGAGGTTGGTAGGGGCTTCCTGGGCTCCAGGTTGGTCACTGGACTATGGTCCTTTTGGGGTTTGTGTCTGCTTAGTCCTGGGAGGACAGAAGAGGTATGTGTGGGGCTGATCGAAGCTCCCACATTCTCCTCCCATGTCCCTTCATCTTTCTTACCTCTTACAGCCTTTTCCTTTCTTTCCAGATTTGGAGGCTCCCCTGTTCTTCCTACAACCCTGATCTGGTTTTGGTGGGGCTGGTGATTTGGCCAGACGCTGCATCAGCTTCTGCACCCAGTCCTCCTTAGGGTCTGCACACAGCTCTGGCTGAGACCGCTTCCGGGGCGAGAACCTGGGGATTGGAGGTTAGTAAGTCTTCTTAGTTTTGCCTGCCATGCCTTCCCCACTCATCCCAACTCCCCTTGCGCCTATATCCACCTCCCTTTTGTCCACTCACAGGATCGCTGGGATGGGGCAGCCTAAGCTTGGTTCTTGCTTCCGGTAGCTGCGGACAATGTTGTAGGGAATCTTCTTTTGGCTGTACTTGAGGCAGCAGTCCTGAGCACCTCCATCACTGCCTGTAGAGTGGGGTTCACAGGGAGCCAGGGGTTGCTTATGAGCTCTTGCTCAGGTCTCTCCAACCCCTTTCTCCTAGCTAAAGCTCCTCCCTCCTTGGTACCTTGGATTTGAGGGATGCAGAAGGCCAGGACCAGGATAAGGGGGCTCAGAACCAGCATCTGAGCCATGGCCGTGGCTGAGGATGAGGATGAGTCCAGAGTTGTGAGCGAGATGGACAGCTGCAAGTTGGGGTCTGTGTGTGGGCTGGGACTGGCCCTCTGCCTATTTATGCATTCAGAGACTTTCAGTTCCCTTACTCCCCCTCCCTTTCCTTCCTGAAATCTGGTCCTATGCTTGTGCCCAACCCTCTAATGCCCAAACTAAAAACACACAACCAATCAATTCCCCAGCTGCCTGACTCTACCTCCTCAACAGCAGTTGAATCCATGAGGCCTTTCCTTCTATTTCCAGCCCCATCTGGGCGCAAGCCTTGCTGCTTCTCCCCTGGAACACTGTGCTTCCTTACTGTGCTCCAGGCTCTACACTGTCCCTCTCTTTCCAGCAACCCATTATTGAATTGTAAGTGTTCTTTATATATCTTCAATAATACACACTTATCAGATATATGATTTGCAAATGTTTCCTCCCACTTTATTATTTTTTAAAAATTATTCTGTTAATAGTGTCCTTTGATGAGCAAAATAAAAAAGTTTTTTAAACTTTGCCTTCAGATTTTTATTGATATTTCTTTTTGGTGGTGTCATTTGCATGTGTGAGCCCATCTTTCTAACCCTTCTTAGTTTAACAAGGTTTGGTTGTTTTTTGGTGAGACTGGAGTTTGAACTCAGGGTTTTACACTTGCAAAGAGGCACTGTACTGCTTGAACGACACCTCCAATCCATTTGCTCTGATTATTTTTGGAGATGGGGGGGTGGGTCTTATGAACTATTTGCCTGGGCTTGTCTTGAACTGAGATCCTCCTGATCTCAGCTTCCCAAGTAGCTAGGATTATAGGCATGAGCCACCAATGCCAGGCCCAGGTTTAAATGGAAATTCTATTCCAGAGGTAGTTTGTTGACAGCAAGAAGGCTTCTGAGAAGTGTTTGGCCTCTATTGACCTTAATCAGACCAATATAAATTTGGACATCTCAAGGTATAGCTGTTGCTCATTTACACCTGACCCATGTACCTTCTGCCATTTCTGTGCCATGTACCATGGCATGATTTGTGAGTCTTTTCCAAGTTTTCTTCAAAACTGGGCATCTGAGTCTTGGCTTCAGAGGGTTCAGTCTATATCATTTGGTTCCCTGTATCTGGGCCTGTCATGAGGCAGAACATCATGGCAGTGGGAGCATGTGGCACAGCAGAGCTGTTCACATGCAGCCAGGAAGCAGAGCAGAGCCAGAATTTTACAATTTTTGTGAAGTTCAATTTACCTTTTCCTTTTTTCCTCCTGATGCCTGTGCTTTTGATGCCATATTTAAAAAATCATTGTCAAATCCAAGCATATGAAGGTTCTCCTATGTTTTATTTCAAGGGTTGTATAGTTTTTTAACTCTTACATTTAGGTATGATTTTGTGTGTGTGTGTGTGACTGGAGTTTGAACTCAGAACATTGCAGTTGCAAAGCAGGAGCTCTACCCCTTGAGTCACATCTCCAGTCTATTTTGTTCAGACTATTTTGGAGATGGGGGTCTCATGAACTATTTGCCCAGGTTGGCAAATTGAGATCCTCCTGGTCTCAGCCTGTCAAGTAGCTAGGATTACACTGAGCCACCAGTGCTTGGCTTAGGTCTGATTTTTTAGTTAAGTCTTGTATATAAAGTAAGGCCCAACTTCTTTTGCATGTGGATATCCCATTTTCCAGCACCACTTGTTGAAAAGATTGCTAACTTGTTCAAAATAACTGACAATATGTGTGAAGATTCATTCCTGTGTTTTCTCTTTCTATTTTGGGAATTGAACCCAGAGCCTCATGCATATGTTCTACAACTTGAGCTACAACTCCAGCCCTTTATTTATATTTTGTTTTTGAGACAGGATCTTACCATCTTTCCCCTAGGCTTGCCTCAGACTTTCAGTCTTCCCTGCTTCTGCCTCCCAAGTAGTTGGAATTACAGGTGTGCCTTACCAGGCCTGGTTTCTTTATTCTGTTGCATTGGTCTGTGTGTCTACCCCTATGCCAGTGCCACACTGTTTCGATCATTGTAGTGTTGCAGTAAGTTTTGAAACCAAGAGATGTGAATCTCCATCTTTGTTCTTTTTAAAGATTGTTTGGCTGTTTGGGTTTCCTTGAAGTTCTATGTGAATTTTAGGATGCATTTTTCTGTTTCTGAAAAAAAATGCTATGGGATTTTAATAGAGATTGCATTGAGATCTGTGGATCACTTTAGATAGTATTGTCATCTGAGTAATATTGTCTTCCAATTCATGAACAAAGGATTCCATTTATTTAGGTCTTCTTTAAGAAGCACTGTTTTGTAGTTTTCAGTGTACAAATCTTAACCTTCTTAGTTAAATTTATTCCTAAGTGTCCTTTTTGGTGCTATTTTAAGTGGAATTATTTTCTTAATTTCCTTTTAGAATCATTCATTGCTAGTGCAAGGTATCCAACTGATTTTTGGGTATTGGTTTGTATCCTGAAACTTTGATGAATTCCTTTAGTTTAACAAGTTTGTGTGTGTGTGTGTGTGTGTGTGTGTGTTTCTTTATGGTTTTCTACATATAAGATCATTTTTCATACATGAATAGAGACAAATTTACTTCTTTCTAGTTTGGATGCCATTTATTTCTTTTTCTTGCCTTAATTGCTCTAGCTAGAACTTCTAGCACCATGTTGAATAGAAGATGCCATCTTCTATCTTGTCTTGTTCCTTATATTAGGAGGAAATCTTTCAGTCTTCCCCACTAAGTATGGTGTTACCTGTGGGCTTTTCATATATAGCCTTTATCATGTTGAGAAAATTCCCTTCTATTTCTAGTTTGAGGGTTCTTTTTTTAATCATGAAAGGCTACTGAATTTTTTTGTTGTTGTTTTGGTGGTACTGGGGTTTGAATTCAGGGCCTACACCTTGAGCCACTCAACCAGCCCTTTTTTGTGATGGATTTTTTCAAGATAGGTTCTTGCAAACTGTTTGCCCTCCTGCTGGCTTCAAATCCCAAGCCTCCTGATCTCTGCCTTCTAAGTAGCTAGGATTACAGATGTGAGCCTCTGGTGCTCAGCCAGGCTATTGGATTTTTTTCAAATGCTTTTTCTGTATCAAGTGAGATGACTATGTATTTTTCCTTCATTCTTTGATGAGGTATATTAAAAGTTGATTTTTTTTAGTATTTTGTACCACCATTGCATTGTGGGAATAAGTCCCATTTGGTCATGGTATATTATTATTTTAATATGCTACTGAATTTGGTTTTCTAATATTTTGTTGAGGATTTTTACATTTATATTTGTGAGGGATATTGGTGTCTTTCTTTTCTTGTAGTATTTTTATCTAGCTTTGGTGTCAAGAGTGAGTTAGGGAGTGTTACTTCCTCTTCAGTTTTTTGGGAGAGTTTAAGAAAGGGTGATGTTATCTCTTCTTTAAATATTTGATAGAATTCACCAGTGAAGCCATCAGTACTGAGCTTTTCTTTCTCAGGATTTTTAAAGATTACTGATTCAATTTCCTTACTTATTATAGATCTATTCAGATTTTCTATTTCTTTAGTCAGTTTTGGTAGTTTGTGTGTGTTGGGAATTTTCCATTTCATCTAGGCTATACAAATTGTTGGAATATAGTTAATCATAGCATTCTCTTACAATCCTTTGTTGTGGTTGGTGGTGGTGATACTAGGGTTTGAACTCAGGACCTTGTGCTTATGAGGCAGGCCCTCTACCACTTGAGGCACAGCCCCAGCAAACCTTTTTATTTATGTCAAATTGATAGTGATGTCCTCACTTTCATTCCTAATTTTAATAATTTGAATCATTTTTTCCCTCAATTTAGCTAAATAAAGTTTTGACAATTTGGTTGTATTTTCAAAGAATCAACTTCTGATTTTGTTAATTTTTCTTTATTGTTTTATCTCTGTTTTAATCTGTACTGTTTCCATCTTTCCATTATCTTTGGGATTAGTTTGCTCTATTGCCTCTGGTTCTTTAAAGTGTTTTCATGCAGTATTTCAACCATAAATTTCCCTATTGTCATTCCATTGTGATTGGGAAAGAGTCTCTCCCTTCCTGTCTCCCTCTCTTTCCCTCCCCTCTCCTCCTTTCTTTCTTCTTCTCCTCCCTACCTCTCATTGCTGGGATGCTGGGAATGGAACTAAGGGCCTTGCATATACTAGGTAAGCACTCTACCACTACATTGCACTCCCAACTCTGTTTTTCTGAGACAGGGTTTTGCTATGTAGCCCAGGCTAGCCTCCTGCCTTCACCGCCTGAATGTTGTGATTACAGGCATGCTCCACTGCACTAAGCTGTTCCAGTTTTTTCATACACTGTTTTCCAGATTGCCTTTGCCCAAAGTTTTACTGTTTTCCAGATTTCCCTTAGTTCTTTGCCCAAAGTTTCCTTCAGCTACTGAACATATTTAAAACAGTTATTTATTTTTTTAGTGGTCCTGGGGTTTAAACTCACTCTTGCTAGGTAGGTGCACTCTACCACTTGAGCCACGCCCCCAGTTCCCTTTTGTTTTAGTTATTTTTTAGATAGGGTCTCACATTTTGCCCACAATTGGCCTTGAACTTTGATCTTTCTACCTATGCCTCCTGCATAGTGGGGCTTATAGGCATATATCACCAACCTGGGCTTGTTGACCACGATAAGGGTCTCACTAACTTTTTGCCCAGGCTGGCTTTGAACCATGATTCTCCCGATCTCTGACTCCACACTTTTGTGCCACCATGCTCATCCCTGAAACAGTTAAAGTCTTCATTTAGTATGCCCAATATCTGGGCTAGTCTGGAATAGTTTGTCATATTCTTTTTTACCTATAAATGGTCTATACTTTCCTATTTCCTTTTAGGCTTTGTACTTTTTTGTTGAGAACTGGTCATTCTGAATATTATAATATGGAATCTTTGGAAACTCAATTCTTATGCTTGTTAGAAGTTGCTGTGTTTACTTGTTGAGGACTGTGTCATTCATCTGTGACTTTTCCAAAGTAATTTTGCAAAGTGTGAATTCTTTGTTGTATAGGGTCATTGAAATTTCTCTTTTGTATATTTGTGG